CGGTGAACGGGCAGCACCGAGTCCGGTACCGCCGCGACACGACGCCACGCACCCCCCAGCTCCACGTGGCCGTTCTCCTCGTCTTCGGCTGCAAGAGCCCCAGCGCGGCCCCTGCGGAGGCGAGGGCAACCCTTGCGATGACCCTGCAAAGCGAACCGGGCCGGGCAGGGCGGGCAGAGGTGCTGTAACCTGTTCGCTGCCCTGTCCAGGGCTCCCACCACCACCACATTTTCCGAATCCTATCCTTTTGTAGCCTGAGGCTTTCCATAAGCTAGCAACCCCTTCCCAAGAAAATGCTGTTCACTTAAATCCTGACACTGAAAACTCAGTAAAGGTTTCCTTAAAAAGCCCAGAAAAAACATTAGCGTACATTGGAAAAAAAAAAAAAAAGACAGGGGAGCAGTAGATTTTGAACTTGCTGCTGGAAGAACCCAGCTGAACACAAACAGCAGGAGGTCACCGGTCTAAGAAACATTTCAAAGTTCTAAGCCGTTACCGACAGCCTCCTCTGCTCCTGCTGAGGACATCACAGGAACAACCCAAGGGGGTTAGTCCTGGTGCTTAGGCCTGGCTTGTGCAGAGCAGCAACCTCCAACCACGCTGCTTGATGCTTCATTTCCCCTTCGCCAGCCGTGAAGATGGAGCGGGGCTGACTTCAAACTCTGATTTTTGGGTTTTTTCCACTTCCACATCTAATTAGGAAGCTGAATGCCTTGTGGCAGTGGAAGCTGATTTCCCAGTGAGAAGGGAATTCCTAATCCGCTGTAATAGTGCGGATCTGGAAGGTGATCATCAGAAATACACACGATACACGCTGGCAGAGCTCTCCTCGCTCTGGCCACCGCTCAAACCCTGTTACTGCTCTGCCAGGCACACCCGAGTCATCTGCGGCTTCACCTCTACACTGGGGGTTTCTTTGCTGCCCTGTGGGAGCTCCCAGTTTGTGACTTCTTACCACTCATGGAATTTCTTGTATTCACTACAAACCTAAAATAGAGTTGCCTGAAGACAAATCAAAAGGACCCTACTACTTGTAATGAGGGATGCCCCAGACCTGAAGGAGCACGGACAGGCCTTACAAGCACCCCCAAAATACGTAGTTATGTCAAATTCGCAGCAACTACCAGACTTTACAACTTAAGCATGGTACAAGTTTGATGCTATAAAAAGGAATCCCTCAAACTGAAGCCAACTCATCCATCAATTATCTACTAATCTGGAGCAGATTCCTCAGATTTTTACACGTACTGAAATTTAGCTCCATGTGTTTAGTCTCAAAGTGGTTATTTAAATTTTTCCCCATAAAAGCCAGTATTTACCCCCTATATAACCCGCTCCTTTTTGCGAGGTTTGCTGTACGTACAGTACATGGGTTTACCACCATAGGTCATGCAGACGTAGATGCACAACTTGCAACCAAATGGAGAAGTGTGAAAACAGCCTCCCCAACTGGCTCTCACAGGTGAGCCTTTCAGAAATTTAACAGAAAGGGGTCACAGTTAGGAAAAAAAATGCCCACTTCCTTCTCTACGCTCAACGTAGTTCACTTGAAATAGAAGTTCTGGCTAAAGTCCTGAATTTTAGATAGACTGCAAACTATCACCTCCTGGGAAAGAGTGTGTTTTGTGATCCCCGATAGAAGGTATTTTGAATATTAACATCGGGTAACGTGAGCCACTTCTTCCCGCTGCTAAGCGGAAAGTACCTGCTCCAAAAATGCTGTCAGCGAAGGCTGTGGCTGTCGGTTGCTTCACAGCGTACACTCCAGCCTTATCAGGAGCCTGCCTTCTAGACAAACAGGCTAATTCCTCCTAGAAGCATGGAATGAGTCACTTCCTGACAAAAAGTCCACCTGTGAACAGTTTTAAGATCAGAGTTTGAAGAGCTGTAATCAACTTTGCCTGTGAAGGAGTGCAAGAACAGTGCTCCAACATGAATGGATTTCGTGTGTCTTCTCTGATGGGTGAAAACAAAAAGAGGCTGAATGCCAGACTGTAATTTTGCACTTATCTATGGCCCAGCAAAAATACCAAAGCACTTTTTTTTCTTTAAAAAATACCAGAATATTTCCAAGCAGTCATTACTATTTTAAACGTAATAACTGCAATTTATAGAAACACTTTGGAGTCAAAACCCCCTGCTGACGTGAGCGTTAGGGTAGAGCTCAGCTTCCCAGCGCCCAGGCAAGGAGCTCTCCTCAGAACAGGAGCTGCAGGCCCCTCGCACCAAGCCTGGAGCAGTCATTACTACGGTGCCCTCCTGGCCTCAGTGTCTGTGAAGGCGCAAGGTTTTCTGGGCGAGAGGAGGAGCTGGGATACCTCTCACTAAGAGGGATCCCTTCCGTGAGTGAAGCTGTTACAGACAGAGCTTGGAAGGCTCACGCAGAAGCTCCTAATGATTTGGGCAGATGATTTTACCACTCCGGGCCATCACAGTATTAGAGTTTATGGTTATTGTTAATGTTGTCGATACAGCTGGGGTTTAGTTTTTTCCCCAAGTGAGAACTGGCACATAACCACCTCCTTCTGCCTTTGTTTATCCAGAGTTGGAAAGCCCCCCAACTGCTTTATGCCACAGAAATGCAACCACTGCCCTACAGAGCTTACTTACGTACTAGTGGGACCCAACAGATAAAAGCTGGGATGTGAGCATTATGCACTTCTCTCTCCACAACGGAGCTTGAGGAACTTGAGGACACACAGGACACAGGCCAGACATGGAACCTCTTCAGTCACAAGATGCTTCATCTTCGGCCTCAGTACATGCAGGCTTAATTTGGTCCTATTCGTACAAATCGAAACCCCACTAAAAACAAGACTGGAAATACAAATACAACAGCAGAACTGGATCCCTACTGTACCTGGAAGAAATTAGTACTGCTTAACTGAAGAATAAAGACCACATTTTTGAGAGATACGTTTTATTAAACATGCAAAACAGCTACTTTGCTGTTTAAGTTTTGGCTTGTATAGTGCCTTAAATTGACAAATTAGCCCTAAAAAACTCTGAGAAACTAGAAACACTCCTCACCATTCTATGGTTTGCTGACAAAGAAGGACATGGCAGTAACATTTGCACAAGCTCTCTTTTGGACAGTCTGAGCCTACCTCGAGGGGAATTTTGTCATCGATGTACTTGTGTGATCAGACACTACGTACTCATAATAGGGTAAAGAAAACATGGTAATTTCAAACCAATTTCCAAATCCTGAGCGGGTTATTTAAATGACTAAGTTATTAATCTCCATGAAAGCTGAAGAAATACTTCGCTAAATTATTTATTTTCAGATTTCTAACAAGTAATACGAAGTTTATGGCAACCATATGCTCATCTGCATGCTACAGGAAAGATTCCACTGGCTTAACTGATCCTGTTCAGGGACTCAGTGGAATTACACTGGCCAGGAATGAAAGAGGGGAACATACCGGAGGCTCTCAAATCCTTGCACACAGGGAACCCGACTATAACCATAAGCTAAATAATGCCCACAAACGCAGCTCGACTGTGGCAGCACAAAGAAGTAGTAGCATTTCCACTAGCAAAGCCACCTGCTAAAACTAGGCACCAGGAAGAAATGAAGACCTACAAGCACAAGTAAACAGAAGTACTTGCAAAGCCTGATTTACGTATTTCAATTTCAGAACAATAAATATTTCTCTTCCCATAGTCTCTAAAACTGGAACGTGTGTTCTGCTCTGCCACGTCCTCCCTCGCTCAGCCAGGCCACGTTACACACACGCTGCACTCTTTGCCTCTGCAGAAGGAACAAACAGGATATGGCATAAAGTAAACACATTCATTTTCTTTGCTATCCTACAAATGTAATTTGTGCCCTTAAGCACTGCACATTCATCTTGATGTTGGAGTATTACGTTGAGAAATAATCTTTTGCAAGTTTAAACAGACCACTAATGGTGGCTGAACAACTTCACTTCTAAATAAGCCAATTAGTCTCTCTACTTAGTAAAGCTGATAAGGATCATCTTTTTCTAAGATTTATTTTAAAAGATACGATTTTTACAACAAACAACTCAGATTTTTTTTCTTTCTGTTGCTATTGTTTGCACAGTGGTAGTGAGCAAGTAGGTAACTTTCCAGAAGTGATGGCAATCAAAATGAACAGATGGAAGTTATGGGTTACTTTTCACACAAAAAAAATTGATATGAATTAAAACCTTTTTAACCAGACTTGATAAAATGAACATTCCTGAATTTCCCAGTTGTAGAGCATGGGCAGATAGTCCTGCAAGCCTCCTAAGTAGGTTTGGGAGAATAAACATTTAGTATTTCTATTGCACAAAAAGCAGTCAAGGAACTTTACTTCTGCCTTCTTTTCTTTTCAGTCTTGATTTTTTTTAATGAAAGAACAAAGGAAACACATCACTGTTTTTAAAGCCCACCATTTCTTTCTTAAGACACAGTACAAAACAGAGCAAAAGAATTCTTTTCCGAATACAGGGCATTTAATAAACTAGTCAAACTGCTTAAACTGATGATACATTTTCACAGATAAAAGTGCAACAGTTCTCCTGAAAAGAAAGGCAAATTTGGTTGTTCCTCAGCACAAAAAAGATAGTTGACGTACACCAAGAGGTAAATACTTGTTTGGCCGTAGATGATGTCAGCTCAAGTAGAATTTGCTTCTTTCTCCATATCATCATCGTCATCAACAACCTGAAATCAAATCCAGAAGTAGCTGAGGTGAACAGTTTAAACTCTCAGTCCCACAGGACTGCACAGAGGATTTATTACACTAAATCCTTGCTGGACCCAAGGAGAAGAGCAGTTAGTTATTCCATAGCGCTGAATGACAAGGGTCACACGAAGAAGGTAAGAAAAACTTGCAACGTGGCTGAAATAACAGGAGCTGGTCAAGTTATTACAATGGCCACTAGAATAGTGGCATATCAGACTTTTAATGAGAAATCAAAAGAATCTGCATTTTAGGGGAGAAAAACTTGTCCCTTATTATCACATAAAGTCACCAAAGCATAAAGATAACAATCCCTGGCAGATGCAGTGTCCAGTCCCGGGCTCCTCAGTAGCAGAGGGTCGTGGGCTCATTGGAGAGTGCCCAGAGAGGGATGCCCTCCCTCAGCCTGCTGGCAGAGCTGCCCTGAACGCAGCCAGGACACGGTCGGGCACCGTGGCCGGAGCGGCCCAGCCCAGCAGGCGCCGGGTCCCCTCCTGCACAGCTGCTTTCCAGCCAGGCAGCACCCAGCACACTTCGGTGCCTTGGGTTGTGCAGAGCTCTGTATCATTTGCTTCTGTACAGCCTCTGACTTGCAAAAACTGCTTCTATACATCCTGTACTTTCGCTTAAATTGCCAACCTCTCCAGGCTGGAAAGGGACAAGGCCCTGTTCCACTGAAAAGAAAACGGCCCTTATCTCTCAGTCAACCCACCTGTTCCACACCTTCCACTTCAGGGATGTAGAACTGGAGCATGTTCTGTATCCCGTTCTTCAGGGTGATGATGGAACTGGGACAACTGGTGCACGAACCCTGCAACTTCAGCTGCACAATCCCATCCTCAAAGCCTTTATAAATAACATCACCGCCATCTTCTTGCACTGTCGGCCTGATGGAACACAATGTTCAATTAAAAGCAGATCTGGCCGAAATATGTTGCCTTCCAAATATCTTGAGTAAAGCTAGATTTAATACACACAAAGGACTGTCGAGATATAGTAACTAAAGCCCTCTTCCTCTACAACCACCTGGTTCATATTTCCAACAACTCATACTTTGCTGGACTCTCTCACATTGACAGCTACTGGTTTTCTGTAGGACGTTAAGTAAAACAGATCTGCAATGAATGCAGCAGCACACGACGGAATCATTGAAATTCTCGGGGTGAGCACCTCCGAGTGAAGCCTGAGCCTGCGGACAAACCACTTGGCTTTGAGGCCCTCTCCACGTGGAACAGCAATTGCCTCAGTTGCGTGCCAAGGACAATAGGCGTGTGCCCACCACACCACGCCTGTGCATCTGCTACCTGCCCAGGGACTGCGATAACAAGTCCTTAAGTGCTTCCATAAATAAATACCCAGTTCACCATAGTTTACACAGGACAGAGAAAAGCTCCAGCTATAAAAGATTAATCCTGCTAACGGGTGAAGAAACCAGTGTTTGATAAGATCACATCCCAGTACTATTAGCATTTCTGCAGCCTGGTCTCCTTTTGCAAGCAACAAATGCCCAGCATTGTAACTGTATCCCCATAGCAACATTTTTCCAGACCAAAAACCATCAAGTTACTCTAACAGAAGCTCTTTATACTGATTTCCAAATAACTCTTTTGAGAACTACACTCCTAAGAGAATCATCTATGAATCTAACGTATTTATTAACAACTCACCATGGCAAGTTATCTCCATTACAGAAAGCCAAAGAACATAACTAAAAATTCAGGTTTTCTTACTTGAAATTAACTTTTTTAACACACTACAGGACATTTCTTACGTACATTCCCTCCATCCTGCACCTTCTGACAACTTCTTTGCATGCATTTTTGACCGACTAAACAATAAATGCTCTGTATGTACCACTGGTTTATATATAGCTTCTGTAAATACTCTGCTATAAAATGAACTAAGATACTCTGCTGCTAATACTCTCATCAACAGCTTCTTGGTCCACCAAGGGGTACAGGGGGAAGGAAATGAAAGAAAGGAAAAGGTGGGAAAAACCAGATCTGGGCAGAAATTCTGTGACCACTATGAAAGGCCACTGGGAAATCAAGGACTAACATACCAGAGGGAGCTTAAACGGCCACACAGCCAGCAAGAGCAGGGCCTCCCGAATGTGGCTGTCACAGCTACATACAACAGTAACTCGGGTTACACATTTTTAATGTTTAGTACATATGCTTGGGTAAACTGTTCCAGCTTATTTCTGCTTTTCTCCCTCCTTCCTTTCAGGAAAATTAACCAGTACCATGTGTCAGCTGTGAGATAACCACTTTTAAAATGCAGCATCTAAAAAGAAATTTAAAAAGCCCAAGTTCATCATAACTTCTAGAAAAAGTCAACTGAATTCCATTATTTGGACCCACATACAAGCTCCTGGTTCCTGTAATCTGAGAGCTGGGGAAGATGTCGTTATCAGATACCACAGCTTCAGAAACACATTAGACATTTTCCCTTGCATTTAAAATGTCAAGTTGCTTATTCCTTTCAGTTCACTTCTGGAAGGCAACTAATGAGCACAAAACTGTACTTCAGGTAAACAACATGATCCACAGCCACTCCTGGGACTTCATTAGTTACCACCAGTTTCTAAATTCAAGCTTTGTTAAAATATCAATAAAACTGCAACAGAATGCAAGGACAAAATCCACTGAAGCCCAGACAGCCACTAGGAGATTTTCCTTCAGAGTACGATACAAGAGTATAAACTACTTTGGAGTACTTGGAAGGGAAGGACAAGTACAGTTAAGACAGAGGTCAATACAACAGAGGGAAAATAGATACTGTAAAAACCAAGATTGTGTTGCTTTCACTATTTCAAAATAGCCAGGTTAAACCCAATGGACCTGCTTAAATGCATTATGGAGGGTAAGGTTCTACAATCACTCAGCAATAACGACTGTTCAGCACATAGTTTGCTTAAACAGGAAAACGAGACAGAAAGTTTTCAATCAGAGGAAACAGCACTCTCAACCCTAGCCAGCCTCGCACTTTAAACCCCGACACGTGATACTGAGCCACGGAACCAGACATACCCAAAGACAATCACTGTTCCCTAAATAAATCCAAACCCCAAGACTAACTCGTTCCATCTAGCAGTAATGTTCCCAGTCTACCTTATTCTTGTATCCAGCAGTTCTTTAATCATCAGCACAACTTCATCGTCTTCTTCTGATGCAGCTTGGGAAAAGAAAAAAGGGCAAATCAGAACTTGGAGAGAATTCCGCTACGATTACTAACACCACATATCCATAACAGCAGAATGAAACAGCATAAAAGCGTTGCCGAGATGGCTGAAACCAAAAGGCAGAAGTCTTAATTCAGAGTAAGTATCTTTTCCTGTTTTCATCAACAACAACCAGTATTCATCCAGAGTTCTTCTCAAATGGAAACGGCCTTAACAGACAGCAGCAGCACCATCTTTTAGAGGGAGCAACAATTAACATGCAGTGAGGATGCATGGGTTAAGGCAGGGTCCTCAGAAGGAGAGTTTTAGCAACCTAACAAATTCAGCAGGAGAAGAATTATGAACATGCCTGGGTTTAGCAGCTCTGGATATAATTTAAAGCTCAGTGTTAGTCTCACGGAAGCATTTTTAAATACAACTTTTTTCAAATAAAAGTCTATGTTAATATTAAAATTAAATCCACATGTAAGAGAACAGGGAGGAATTCAATAATCATAATCTTCTTAAAACACTGGAAAAATGGTTTAAGTCAGTAAATTGTAAATGAGAAAATAAAAGGCAAAATACTGCCCTTGAGTTAAATTGTAAGTTAGTCTCAGTTACTTTCTATTACAGCTTGGAAAAGACTTCTTGCTATTTCTCGTTCATTTAAGACCATAAACCTATCATTAAGACTCGCACATTAAGACTGGGCATTCTTTTTTGATTTAAGGAGGGAAATAAAACCCTTTGTAGGTGCCCATACAAAAAGGATATGCAGCAACACCCCACAGCTTTCCAAACACAGTACTTCCCAAAACATTTCACACGCACAAAGAACAACAGAACACGGTCCCCTCTGCCAAGACACACAGTTCAACACAGCTCTGGTGAAGATACAGCCCTCGTGCCACAGCAGACAGAACCAGGCTTTATGTTCACAGGTAAGCAACTCCTTTAGACAGTGCAGCATTGCTTCCACTAGAGCATACGCATGCTGAAAATTCTCTCCTGTGTTAATTTTAGTGGTTTTCACTTTAAATTCTCTTGCATGCTTTTCTGAGAGACAAGAGGAGGTTCTTCTGGATGTTACAAAAACTTCAACCCAAAGGCAGATACTGGCCACTTCCTGAAGAGTTTGACATACCTGTATCTGTCCTAGGTGCCTCATCAGTAACTACAGGTAGGCCAGAGGCAAAGAAATCCATTATAGTTGCATAAATATCTGGTTTCAGTAAGTTCCAATCCAGGTCTTCACTCTCCTATGTGAATCAGAAGGGGAAAAAAAAAAAATTATAAAAACCAGAGTATCTGCCTCCTAATAATAAGTTACACAGAGATTCTTTTTATGTTAAAAATATCACAGTGGGCTCTCACGCTGAGAAAATTTGATTTCACAGTTTTGTCAAGTCCAGCTTTGCCAAAAAAGTTTAGTAAGACTCAGTGTATAATAATCAACAGAAAGGTTTCCTTGTTTGCAAGCCAAATGCTATTAAAATCTTCACTAAAAAGAGGTGAAAAAGTCTCCTAAATACATCTGACATATTTTTACCAACGGTTTCACAGACTCAAGGTTGTTTGGTTCCATTTAGTTTTGAGCCAAATTACCATTCCCTGGATCGCCCTGTACTCTTCACACAGTAAAAGTGCACAGCTACCACACACCACCTTATCTCTGCTGCCAGGAGCTGTACACCTTGGGCAAACAGCAGGCTGCCTGCGAGGCGCTGCGCCCCGGCCGCCCAGTCCCCTCCTTCGGAAGCCACCACGGAGGTTAGCGAGTCCCGCGTCCCGCCCGACACACGGCCAGCGGCCAAGCGGGCCAGGCCAGCGTTGACTGCTTCCAAGATCAAAGAATCTACAACTTCACTGGACAACCCATTCCTTCCAGTGCTTATCCACACACTGTCTTTTTGGTTTTTTTCTTTACATTAAAGGCATTTTCCTGGATGCCACTTGTGACACTGCCTCTGGTACTCTGTGCGAGTCCAAGCCTGACTGGATCTCCTCCGTGGCCCACCTGTTAGAGAGCTGAACCCCAGCGTTCTGCTTACCTTGGTGATTGTGATGAAGTCTGGTCCAAAGAAAATGCTTTTAACTCCTTCAATTTTGAATAACTGTCTGTTAGGAAAACAAACAAACAAAAACAACCAAGAAAAAAAAATGCACACATATTTCAGGCAAACTCCTAAAGATTTATTTCATGTTACAGAAAAAAAGTTCTAGAATACACTTCCAGACAAAAATAAGCACCAAATCCAGAACCTTTAGAAGAAACTCAGTTACTTCACCTACAGTTTACTAAGAGCCAGGAGATCCTGCTGTGAAGCAGTGTGCACAGTAAAAGTGAACATATCTCACACATCTTGTGGAAAAGTTGTGGGAAAGAGTTTCTCTCCAGTTCTTCTTTGGAGGCAAAATTATATTCTGTATATAAAAATGTATTTGTTCAGCATCAAAACCAGTAGTACCTATTGTTTCAGGTAGGAGTAGTACAAATACAAGGAATGTTCCTTAGATCAAAGCAAATTATTTAAAGCAATTGACCTCAATAAAAGCTGTCTTCAATTCTGTTGCCATTAAATAAAAGGATCAGTGCCAAGCAGTCCACAAGGCTTTGACTCACTTTGTGAGCAATCTTCAAATTTTTCATGTGCCATACAAATGATTAAAAATACTGAAGATCTAGTAAAGGCTCAGGATTCATACTAAACTGCTTGAGATGGCCAACACAGCACCCAACAACCAGGTGGTAAATTAGCACACACCCAAAGCAACACAAGAACTTGGACAATAGGAAAGAGCATATTTCTGACAGTATTTGAAGTATAAAAAGCAGAATGAGAATGTAAGACCAGTTTCCACAAATGGTTAAATAAGACCCAACAAGTTCATCTACAGAATAAATAATGCTACCCTTGAAGAGTAAAGTTAAAAAAAAAAGTCATTAAAAGTAGGTAGCACCTAGAGTTAAATACAGCGTAAGACTGTAAGTGTGTTTTTGTGATTAAGAAAAAAAAAATTCTCCTGAAAGACCAGAAAATGTCAAAAATACAATGCACGAAGGAATTGGAAGTCTTATCACAAAGGTATGCATGATGAAAAATGACAGAAGAGATTTCACAATACCCACTGGAAAGAATTTCCACACATGGAACAGTTCTACGTGTATCAAGCTTTTATATCACTAAACCAAATGGATTTTAAAGTTACTTAAATTATGCAAGTGCACCAAACCACCCTAGATCAACTAAATAATTCTCTCCCCCTCTCCCTCCCCTTCAGGCAGCTTTTATTACTTCTATACTGGAAAATTAATATTCCCTTTTAAAATAAATGAGTATTCCATTTAGAAGAACCATTATCTGGGGTTTAACAATATATAGTAGACTTTTTTTTTTTTTTCCATTAACCTGCACAAGACGCATAATCAAGCTGATTTGCCACAGTACACACTCACATCTTTGATGAGAACGTCTATTTGCAGACATTTGACAACAAAAAGCCACTTTCTGACAGTTGATTGCATTCTGCAACCTGATGCACTTTGGCACAATCAGATCCTACAGCTTTAGCGTTCCACTAACACGTTTTGATGTCCTCAAAAACCTTTCACATTGGATTTATTACTTTAAGTCACAAAGCTTTGCGTGTAAAGATCCTGTTTGCTCTCAAACAACTCTGCGAGAGACCTTTGGAAACGTCAGTGCTGCTCGTTTGGTAACTCTACAGTTCCTGGAGAGAATGTCACATGAGACAACTCCTGCTTTTGCACAGAAGTTTTCCAACATACTCAAAGATGACAGCGGGGATCTCCGGAGGGAACCTACTGCAGCATTTCTGGATCTCACCCTCAAACTGAAGCCCTTCCACCCAAGTAACAGATAAAGTTTCTTCTCAGTACCTAATGTGAAAGCAAGGACAAACATGCAGAAAAGGATTCTTCTAAAGATTCCCAGAGAGGCTTGTGATGGCGCCGCAAACCCCTTCTATACAAGATGGCACAAATCAATGACCTGCTCAGCAATTCTCACTCCAGATTACGCATTTTGGTATGGAAAACTGCAACTCCCAAGACCTGTTGCAGATCCAGCCCAAAAGAGTGGCCCAAAACTGAATTTCCTTTGACCAAACATTATAAGCCTTTTGTGAAAGAAAAATCTGTTGGCTTTGAAGTTCAGGTTAGCACCAACAGCTGCCAAAGCAGGCAAGCTACTGCACTGAATTCGTGGTATGTGGGGACTATTTACTTCCTTATGCCATCTATTTCCCAATTCTGCAGAGCTGCATGATTGCCAAGTAACTACTTCAATTAAGGGCGTTCTGATGGGAATGATTTTTGTGAAATCAGGGCCAGAGGTCTCACTGGTGATGCACAACTGTTCAAGAATACTGATTTATAATACTACTCAATCCAGTTGCGTAAACTTAGACCTTGACACCTTCTGCTACGATACAGCCATGGGGAGCACAGACACACAGAAAGACTGCTTTAGTAACAACGATCTTCCCAGTTTTAGTTATACACACAAGTAAAGCAGCACTAAAAACTTAAATCCAACCAAGCTACTCCTGAGTACAAGGAGGAGCAAGCAGAATGATCAGAAGCTGTGCTTAAAAACATCAGCTGTAGACAGACGGCCCATACCGGTCCCCCAAACAAATGATGATGTGTTTAATAATACCTTGCTAAAGGTGAGCAAAATGCTGCAGCTGGCGTGGAAAACTCCATAGTCCTCGACTCCAGCACTTCCTTGCCTGGGATAAACTTCAAACTATTTGGATTTGGTGTGTCCTGAGTTTGAATAAACATGCCTCTTACTGGAAATTAAAAAAAAAAAAAAAGAGGAAAAGAAGAACAATAATGTAAGCAAACTTAAGTAGCTTAAATGAAAGTCAAAGATCTTGATTACTTAGCAAGCCAAGACCAGGGTGATCACCGTGCTACAGCAAAGAGCAGCCTGTGCAGCAATGGTACTTCAAAGCAAGAGGCTCCGTGGAAGCCTCCAGACCGACGTGAAGACTGATAAACACAGGCGTGCTATCCCACAAGGAACAAGATGAGAAACGGAACCTCGCCTTTGCTTCTTCTGTTTTATTTACTAAAAACCACGCTACTGCAACAGCATCAAACTGCATGCGGCCAGTATCATCCTCACTTTCTACATGAGGCGGAAGGGTGCAACCTTCATTTCTCTGTTGTGTTTAGGGTTTTTTTTATTTATTTTACAATCTTCAAATGCTGTTTAAGCCCATCTTCCAGCATTATCACTTCCTGTTCAAAGCATTATCAGAATTACTAACCTTCTCTTGAAGATACACATGGTTTATGGGGTTTGGGTTTTCTCTCATGGACTGGGCAGCCTGCCACACGAGGAAAAGCCGAGAGAACGGGCTTTGTACAGCCTTGGGAAGAGAAGGCTCCAGGGAGACCTTATCACCCTGCTCCAACGTTTAAAGGGTGCTCACAGAGAAGATGGAGACTGCCTTTTTGCAAGGACTCATGTGGAAAAGACAAGGGGTAACAGGCACAAGTTACTCCGGGGGAGATTCCAACTAGACACAGAAGGAAAATTTTTCTCAATGGGAACAACCAGCCACTGGGATGATCTCCCCAGGGAAGTGGTGGATTCCCCAACACCGAAGATTCGCTGGACAGAGGGCTGGCCACCTTGTCTAGACCAGGCTCTTGCCAGAAAGCTTGGCCCAGATGATCCCCGAGCTCCCTTCCAACCTGGTAGTTGATGATTCTATGAATCATTTTTCAGGATTATAAAAAAAAAAAAAAAGGAAAAAAGTGTAACAGCAGTTACAGTGAACCACACCCTGCTTATAATATTTTCCACAGAGGGAAAAATTACTGTAAACTATTGATTATCTTCCAGAAACCGAACTGACCAAAGCATTCAAAATAAAATTATTTACGGTTCACTAGTAAAGATGTTTCAAAGATAAATTTTCACTTAAGTTCCTTTTGCAGTGTCTTTCTTTCACTAGAACAATGTTAAAAAAAAAACCTGATCTTGACTAAAATTTCATACGCAGCATATGCCTGATGTCTCACTGAAGCTGAACAAGCGAGGGACAGTTTCCCCATGTTCTAATTTTCTTTCTAGTTGTTCTTCTTTCTAACTCTCCCTGGACATCAAATAACACAATGATATATGAATATTCAGGAAAGAAAAAATGCATTTTAAAAGCAAAAACTTCTAGGAACTAATATTTATAAATAAATTATACTTGAGAAACAAGCTCACATAACTTCAAAACCTATGGAATAGAGGGATTTAAAGCAGCAAAAAGAGGTGACATTTTCATAAACTGCCATTTTGCCTGTGACTCCCCAGCATTAGATGACACATCACGCTATTTATAAATTGCCAAATTGTTACTGCATGTGCCTGTTGCGGTGACAACCCCTTTGACTTGAACATACACAATGGCAAAGTACACAGGGTTTTTTTTTTTTTTTTTTTTTTTTTTTTAAAAAAAAAGACTTAGCACAAAAATACTTAGTTTTAACATGAAAAGAGTAATTCTGATAGAGCAAGCAACTAGTCAGCTTTATCCATGGGGATGGAAGAATTCATCTTCCAGCTCCAGCTGGCATCCAAAATCACACCCAGCGTAACAGGTTAGTTTACAAATAACCAACACCGGGGACTGGGCTGGCGTGAGCCCGTTTTTCTGAAAGCAATGGGTCACTAGCAGCTACTGTACATTTTTCATCCAGCACCTCTAGCACCCTAAAACACAACTGGCTCCGTCAGCTCTCGGACAGGTTGTCCACGTGGGTAGCCTCTGTATTTTAAAAGGGTCTTCTGCAGCTGAAGAGCTACCTCCCTAAACCCAGGTTTTTCAGTCATTAATCAGTCTGCAGAGTTCTTTGCACAGCTGTGAATAACTGGCTTAGAATTTATTATTCGGTAGTTGGTAACTGGCTGTATTTACATCAAACGTCCATACAATTTCTTTCAACCCTCTGCAGAACGCTGCGTATAGCTGCTCATTATTCTGTTGAAGGTAAGAGGAAGAGCCCAAACAGAGGCCAACTTTAGTAGGACACCTACAGAAGCAGGTAATAAATACTAAATCTACTCGTCAGAGTCTGCCTGTTGATTAGAACAGAAATAGAAAAAATGGTGTTGGACCCGCTGAGACTGGACTTCTCTGAAACCAGAATTAAAAACAAACTTCTGCCTGAGCAGACTCACCTAAATAAGATTTCCTTTTATGTCTAATTCCATGCAATGGCACCTGCAGAATTTTTCTGTCTTAAAACTCTTCCTGCTGCAGCATGGGAGAGCAGTTGCTACATCCCTCAGGCAAAATGCTTTTCTGTGGTGCAAGTTTCACAGATTTTTTTTTTTTCATTTTTTTTTCCCTTTTCTTAGCATTACAGCCTCCTACAAATAATGGTAGGTACAACAAACTCGATCTTAAACATTGCTTTTCCAGGGTAACACCAAGCTTCAGATAATATTAATGGAGAACGCCATTAATGCACCATACATGGATGCATGTTCAAGAGGGGGAAAATTAAACAAAAAAAAATTGCAGCTCTAAGAATGAAAGGCTGGGCAATTTCATCTGCAGAGCTCAGCAGCTGGAGCAGGACAGAAGGCAACACAAAGTCTTCCACAAGGGATACATTTACACAGAGACAGAAATTAAATTAAGAAGTGCAGCAAAGCCCAAATATTATTTTACACTGTCAGAGCCCCTTGTAAGTCTTGGCAGCTAAATGATACAGAAAAAAATGTATAATCAAGCACATAGTGAGCCATCCACATCATCTCCCCAGTGTCCGAATACCACCTAGGAAATGTTATCACACTCAGATTTCAGGAAGAAGAGCAGACTTTCATTATTACCACAAGACATAAAAACTCTCAACACACTCATCTTTTAATCATTTTTAACTAGTATTTACCTGCGTTACGCCATAGTGCAGATGGAAGAAATGGTTTCTTTTGCACAAGTTGGTAGAAAGACTGTTGAGTTGTCAAGTTACGATCTTTTAAAACCATGCGACAGAACCTAGAGAAAAATAATTTCACTAACAATTTCCATTTCACATATTTCTAGCAACCCCTGAACTCAGCAAGACACACACTTGCCTTAAACCTCACAGCCTAGATCACAAATCATCCCTTACTTTTTCCCCTTTTTAGTGTTCCCTCTCATTTTATAACAAAACAGACACAACTCTCCAATTTTGGCCACCTAAAAAATTAATCTACACTCCTTTACAGCCACTACAAACAGGTAAACCACACTACTTATAACAAAAGAGGATTAATCACCATAAGAGAGCTTTTCAGTCTTCCTTTTGACAATACTGAGCAACTGGAAATCTAGCTTGGACTAAATACCTAATTTTCGAAGACAACAGACAGCTGAGATGAATCCAACCCCAAGCACCTGAGGCTAAATCAAGGCCAGAACTGACTCCTATATTCTGTGCGTTTAGTGGTCAAACATGAGATTCCCCTATATGACTCTTAGAAAATACAAGATGGGCTAAAACGGTAATGCAATGGCTCCTCTTACACGAGCAATTCTTGTAAGAAAAAAAAAAAAACAACAGGACAACATTTGGATAAAACATAAAAATTCTATTAGTTCCATGTACCAAGCTATACCTCATCTCTGTCCATCTCGATGTATTTCTTCCCTTTGGGGAATAAAGAAATTCAGTATATTCCCGTACAAGCAGTGTTCCGGAATTAAACCAGAGCAGTTACAGAGGCCCTGCTCCATCCTGGCCACACAAACTCGCACTAGCAGTCAAAATAGGGATAGGGGTGGTGTCAGCCGCCCAGCTGAAGTTAGAAGAGGGGAGAGCAGAAGGGAAAAAGCAAACAAAACATTTAAGAGAAAAAGCAGAGCAGAGCGACGGACTAGCAGGCCTATCTTCCAAGGGCGTCAACACTTGCACAACCGATTTCTGTAACTGTATGCACAGCCAAGAGCATCCTGGTACTTCAGAGCACAGTGAAAACCAGAAAATGAAACCAAAACCCACCTCATGTCAAAGATAAATATTACATACGGAGGATTAATTATTATCTGGTTTCACGCCTCGTCAGGTACAGAGAGGGGAAAGCAGGTAAACTAAGTAAGTGACACCTGCAGGGGTGTTACTGAGAGAGGAGGCTGATTCTCTCCGGGGTCCTGAACGAGCACAAAGGCGCTACCCCAGGCCCAACATCCAATTCCTGGATACCCCAGGAATCCCTCCGACGTGGGACGGGAGCAAAGCTCAATGGGCCTCCCTGCGAGAGAGGGAGCCGTGAACACAGGAAAGGTCTAAAACCATTTATTTGCTTACTTTTGTGGTCTTTGTAACAGGTAGAGAGACTACGGGGGGGGGCTCCCCCAAGAGTTCTTCCTCCCTTTAGTTTTGGGGGAGCCCACAGGGTAGGAGGCGAGCCGCAGGGCCCGGCGAGCTCCCCCTTAGTGCAAACCTCGGGGAGGGGGCAACGGAGACATCCCCCCTTACTGTCTGGACCCAAGTGTAATAAACGTGCGGGGCAGGTAACTGCCCCTCTCTGCGTGATCCCGTGCACGTGGGGGACGGGGGGAATTGCTCCTCGTTGCACGGTTGGGGAAATTCCCCCCGCTCCTTACTCACACCTCTGCGGCGGGGGTGAACAGTCCCTCAGCACCCGCGCGTGGGGGGAAATCACCGCCTCGCTGTCCTAACGGCGCAGGGGGAAGAAACAGCCTCTCTGCCCGCCCGCAGCGAGGAGAAGAAATAACTTCACCCTCGTTCAACATTTCTTCAT